TTGAGTCCAAACACAAACACTGCAGGTGTTAATGCTACCACTTTAGTAATCTCCGATGGGAGGGAGGAGTGTAGCTTCACTAATTATGTTAGGGTTGAGACTTGGAGGGGTAATGAGTTGTTAAAGAGCGCCTGGGTCAACGGGATTGTGGTTACCGGATGGAGAGATTCTGCCTCAGACATTACCTTGGTTAAAAAGGAATTAGTCTGGGAAGAGAATCATTTGCCAGATCAAAGTGTGAGCCTGGTGGCACTTTCTGAGCGTATGGCAAAGGTGCCCTTAACAAAAATCCACTTAGAGTGGGAAGATTTTAGGGGTGATATGATAGTTGGAGTTAGGGAAGTTCTCCCTGCAGATGTTTTGATTGGAAGTGATATTGTAGTTGTGACTAGCAATGTCAATGTCATAACCAGGTCACAGAGGAAATATGGCTCTGATATGGATACTATAACTTGTCCAATAATGAGGGAATCTGCGAACAAACAAAGGATATCTCTCAGCTGGTGTCAGTTGAGACTGTGCCTGAAGTGGCTCTGAATTTAGGTGAAGAAGTTTATTAGGGCCCAACAAGAGGGTGTTTCATTAGAAAGAGCCAGAATTGATGCCCAGAACCTCACCTCAGTGGGGGAAGAATAGGCAGATTTGTCATGCAAGATGGCTTGCTGTACAGAGAACCTCCTACAGGGAAAAAGCAGCCTCATGGTAAGATCTGCAAGTAGCTTGTGGTGCCTGAGGAATATAGAAGTGTTTTGTTAAAGTTGGCTCATGACGGTCCCTTTGCAGGACATCTGAGCATAGAACAAACTTGTGAAAGGTTGAAACAAGTTTTCTATTGGCTTTACCTGTTTGAAACAGTGAGGGAGCATTGCAGAATCTGTGATTTGTGTCAGAAGCACAAGGGCTTTAAGGGTCCTAAGAAGGTACCTCTATAGCCATTACTCATTACTGGGAGGCATTTGCCAGAATGTCTGTGGCTATTGTGGGACCATTCCCTAAGTCTTCCAGGAATGGAAAGAAGTATATTCTGGTGTTGATGGATTTTTGCCATCAGATACCCTGAAGCTGTAGCTTTGCCTAAGGTTGAGCCAGAGCCAGTGGCTACAGTACTTACTATTTTTAGCAGAATGGGTTTTCCCAAGGAAATTTGTCAGACTGTGGTGCCAATTTTATGTCGATTGTATTTAAGCAGCTGTGGGAAATGTGTGGAGTAAAGCGCCTAAAAGCTGTCCCTTACCATCCAGAGACCCATGATTTGATAAAAAGGTTTAATGGAACATTGAAGGCTATGCTAAAAATGTATGTGGACAGGTGCCAGAATGACTGAGATGTCTTGTGTGCATATAGAAGTGTACCCCAAAAATCTACAGGATTTGCTCCCTTTGAGCTACTTTATGAGAGGCAGGTCAGCAGACCCCTAGATCTGATTCATGATTGAGGTGACAGAAGAGCCAGTGATTTGTGTCACAATTTAAAGAAAACTTGCAAGATATGATGGATCTGGTTCAGCAGAATCTTGAGAGAAGTCAGGAAGCTCAGAAGGCTTGGTATGTTAGGCATACTGAGGAAAGAGCATTTGAAATTGGAGATGTGGTGCTGACACTAGGTCCTGTGAGGAAAGAATAAGATGGAAGATATTTGGAATGGACCTTATGAGGTAGTGGAGAGAATTAATGAAGTTACCTGTAATGTGAAGAGGATATGCAAATAGTGCATATTAATAGGTTGAAGGCTTACCGGAAGAGGGAGATAGCTGTAAACATGATTTGCTATGCTGAGGAAGAGACTTAGTCTATGCTTTTGGTCGATATGGTTGCAGAGAGGAATCGCAGCTGGAAACCATTGAAATGGGAGAGGGTTTAACTCTAGCCCAAAAGAATGAGATGTCAGCTACATGGAGGCACCACAGGCAGACATTCTCAAACCAGTCAGAACTGACTGACATACTAATGCACTCCATTCAAACCACAGGTCCCCGCCCAGCTCCTAGAAGGGCATACAGAGCCAAGGGAGAAATGCAAAAGCAGATTCAAGAGGAGGAGGAGGAAGAAAGCATATTATCTATGGGAATAGTTACTAGATCTAAAAGCCCATGGACATCCCCTATTGTTATGGTACTCAAAAAGGACAAAAGCTTGAGGTTTTGCATGGATTATAGGAAGCTGAATGCTATCACACAACCTGACCCTTACCCCATGCCCAGAATAGAAGATTTGCTAGATACACTGGGGGGTGGGGGGTAGCGAAGTTCATAAGCACACTGGATTTAACTTGAGGGTACTGGGAAATTCCCTTAGATACTGACTGCCAAGAAAAATCTGTTTTCATAGTGGAGTTCCTGTATGAATTCAGAGTCTTACTGTTTGGATAGCAAAATTCAGCAGCCACATTCATGAGGCTTATAAATGAAGTCCTACGGGGTTTGGAATCTTTTCCCAGGGTGTACATAGATGATCTAGCCATCTTCAGTGGACAGCGGTTCTTGGCAAGACCACATAAACCATGTGGGAAATATGTTGCAAAGGCTTTGAGAGACTAACTTAACTGTTAAGGTTTCTAAATGTAAGATGGAAGCCTCAGAGGTGTCATACTTGGGTCACAGGGTGGGCAACGTGTTGGTTAGCCCTGAACCCTCAAAAGTAGAAACCATAAAAAGCTGGCCTGTCTCTAAAACAAAAAAAACAGGTCCAATCCTTTATTGGCCTAGCCAACTACTATAGTAGATTTGTAAAGAGGTTTAGCGACATTGTTGCTCCAATAACAGACTTTACCAAGAAGGGAAAGTTGGAAAAGGTGATAGGGACAGAGGCCTGTGAAAATGGCTTCCAGAGCATGAAAGAGGCCTTATCTAAACAACTTGTCCTAACCAGCCCTGATTTTGAGGAACCATTTCTGTTGTACACAGATGCCAGTTCAACTTTTAGGCTTTATTCCTTCCTCCACATACACAATCTTCTCTCATCAAGCACTTCCTAAAAATAGTGTTTTCAAAGTTCCTTAATGCTCCCTTTTGAGAAGCTATCTAGCATACATAACATCCCTCTCCATGCTGCTGCTGCTGCCTTTTTAAACAACTGCTGTTGCCCCAGTCCCCTGCAATGGTGTAATATAAATGTACACATTTTTAAAAGATTAAGTGTAGTCACTTTAATGAAAAGTGTTATCAACGAGAACCACACTGATTATCACTGCCATGCTTTTTCATACTTAGGTTTTATTAACTAACAAACTTGGTATTTATGTTTTTGTAACTATCACTTACTGAAGCAAACCTCTCTCTAAACGAACAAAGTTGGATGTCTTGGTTATTTTAGTGTTGTAAGTCTTCCTTATTTTGGAGGAGTGGACAACTATTCCTTCCTTGTGGAGTCATTCTCTACCTATGATACATAACAGTGTAGTCTCCTGTGGGCTGTAATACTTTGGTCTAATTTTGGTTGTTGGGATTAGTGTGCAGATCCTGGGTGGTACTGGTCTGACCCGTCTGGTCTCAAACTGCCAGGAGGCCAGACTAGATGATCTGGTGGCCTCAGCTTGTGGCCTTAAACTGTTTTGATTCTGGGCATGTCTACACTACAGCACCTACAATGGCATACCTACAGTGCTGCAGTGGTGCCGCTGTAGCGTAGATATTTCTTACATTTCCAGAAGGGTTCCCCCCCCCATTGAAGTAGGTAATCTGCCTCTGTGAGAGGTGATGGACAATTCTGTCAGCCACCTAGATGCATTTGCAGGGGTTAATTTAGCTATGTTGCATAGAGCGTGAAATGTTTCACACCCTTGAGTGATGTAGCTAGGTTGATCTAATTTTTAGGTACATACCGGGCCTCTATTACTCCACTTCCATGACAGGCGTAGCACTTAGGGCAATGTAGTTAGAGCAACACCGTGTCAGTAGACATGGTGTTGCTTACATGGACTTGCTGCCTTTCCCACAATGTCCTACATTGACAGTTAAATCATTGCAAGTGCTGGCACAAGGAGCATTGTGTGGACATGCAAAAGCGATTCAATTACTGTACATTGACATAACTTAGATAAACGTACTTGTGTAGTGTAGATTTACCCTTAGGGATGTTCAAGTTTCTTCCTCAGCTGCAGGAGCGGCGCCAGGGTTTTTGCTGCCCTAGGCGGCAGCGCTCCTCCTCTGAGCATTCGGCGGTGGGGGTCCTTCCGCTCCACGTCTTCGGGGCACTTCAGGGGCGGGTCCCGGAGCGAGTGAAGGACCTGCCGCCTAATTTCCGCCGAAGACCCGGAGTGGAAGGACCCCCGCCGCCGAATTTCCGCTGAGGGAGGCAAAAGGCCGCCCCGCAAATCCTGCCGCCCTAGGCGCCTGCCCAGGGTCGCCTAGTGGAAGCGCGGGCCCTGCTCAGCTGAGCAGGACTTTTGCTGCACTTCAGTGAAATACACCAAATCTGGGGCTGCAAAAAGGCAGCTCGTAGACCAAAGCTGGATCATCAGATGCTTTCTAATGGAAGGTGAACTCTTTTTATTTACTAATAATTATTATTATTTTTGTATTATTTTCTCTGGAGTCCAGACCTTGACAATACCTTGACCAAGAAATTTGGACCTTGACAAAAAAATAATTGATTACCCCTGCCCCCAACTCTCCTTTGTTCAGAGTGACCCTCTCCGTGCTACGCCTCCTGTACTGCCCCCAAGGCACAGGTCAGAGGGGTGGCAGTTGGCCTGACGTTTTCAGCGGGTGTGGGGTTGGCCATAGGGCTGAACACTTGCACGGGGTGCAGAGAAGCCGCTTTGGAGGCAGCGCCTTGCCTGGGCTGCGCGGAACTCCGGCGCTCAGACTAGTCACACAGGGGTTAAGGAGGGGGGTGCCCTGGGGCGGGCAGGACGGCAGGGGGAGGTAGGCCGCGCTGCGGGCTCTCGGGGCAGGCTCGCCGGGCTGCTGCCGGCAGGTGGCGCTGGGCCGCCGCGGCGCTGCCAGAGCCGGGCCCCGAGGCGGGGGCAGCCGGCGGGACATGCGCGCTGGGCCCGGCGTCGCCTGGCAGGCGGAGAAGGAGCGCTCGTCCCGGCCGCCGACTCTGCGCTGTGCTGCGCCCTGCCCGCCCCCTGCCTCCCCGGCAGCACCGCGGGCCGGGCCCGGTTCCTAGCGGCCCCCGCGCACCCAGCGAGCCGCAGCCCGGCCGGGAAGATGGCGACGCTGGGAGGCGAGTCCCAGCCTTTCCCCGCTGGCCTGGCGGCGGCCGGGGCGCTGCACCCCCAGCACCTCGGCGGGGGCGCCGGCTCGCTCGGCTACAACCTGCCGCTCAGCCGCGCGCTGGAGCGGGCGCTGGAGGAGGCGGCGCACTCCGGGGGGCTCAGCCTGAGCGCCAGGAAGCTGAAGGAGTTTCCGCGGGGCGCGCCCGGGCACGACCTCTCCGACACCGTGCGGGCAGGTGAGCCGGGGGCGGGCATCTCCCCTAGGCACCCCCACGTGCGCCCCCCTCGGCCCGGGGACAGGCCCCCCCGCCCCCCCCACGTGCGCCCCCCCTCCGCCCGGGGACAGGCCCCCCCGCCCCCCCCCCA